AACTGAAATGGGTTGCTATTTCCTCCTCCAGGGGGTCTTCCTGACATAGGGATCAAACCCAGGTCTCTTGCTTTGCAGGCAGATTCTTTGCAGCAGATTCTTTATCTGCTGAGCCATCAGGAAGCCCTGAAATTACCCAGTCCATAAAAATGAATCACCCCATATTTTGGGGCCTCTTGCCTTCTGAGATGGCTGCACTCTGTCTGTCGAATGTGTTTCTCTTTAAATAAATCTACTTCTTACCTTAAAAAAGAGAGAGAGAGAGAAAACAAGTAGTGTGACTGTATCTTGTACTTATAATCCCTGAACTGGTGCTATCTTTAACCCTTTTTATTGTCTGTTGGTTTTCTTACTCATCTCTTAAGGCTTTGTCTCATGACAAACATGGATTTTAAAATCTTATTGCTTTAAATTCTTAGCTTTCTATAATTTTCCTAAAACTTCCATTTGAATACAGAGGTTTTATAGCTGGTTGCTAGGAATGGATTGCTTCCTTCCACATGTTCTATAAATCATGCCTGTTTCATTCACTTATTATTTTAGGAATTATTTGTATCATGTTGGCATAATCTAGTTTTTTGTTTTGTTTAGCATGAGTATCTATATGTGTGTTCTTATAACTTTCTTGTCCAATTGCAATTTAGTTCCCTAAGGGGGAATAATTCAAGTTTTCAAAAAATTTTATTTTATTTTTTATGGAAGTGGAAAGTATGCCAGGTATTTGAGAGCTTTTCCTGATAATGCATTTTCTTTCCCATTATTTTCTTCTAAAAAATATGCTACCCAATGCACTCACTTGAAAAGAAATCTCTGGGGAATAAATATATCATTTAGAATATGATTGTAATATTTGCATCATCACATATATGGCTTGTGTTAATGATTTCTCCATCCTCATGTAATTCTAACTTTCATTAAAGTCTTTTCCAGCCTCATATTATTTCACATTTTTTTTCTGTCTCTTCTTCCTCCTTCCTTCCTCTTCCAAATAAAAGAGCAATCATGATTTTGAAGCTAATTCTGTTACTTGTGATAATGTATGCCCAACTGATAACACTAATGTCCATGTTCCCACACGTCTAAGCTTGCAAATTAAGAATCCTGAGATAGGAGGATTATTTTGATTATCCAGGTGTGTCCTAAATGTAATCACAAGTGTCCTTTCAGCATAGAAGTAGAGTGTGCCTTGACAGGTGATCAATGAGAGGGGGTAAAGTGATATGGCTGCAGAAACAGAGACTAGAGTGATGTGGCCACAGTTCAAGAAATGCTGGCAGCCACAAAAGCTGGATGAGACAAGGATGAGACTTGAAGCTTGCAGATGAAACCAGTCCTGATGAAATCTTAACATTGGCCCTCATTTAGATTTCTAGCCTCCAAAACTATAGGAGAATAAATTTCTGTTGTTTTCATTTACTTACTAACATTGTAGTGATTCATTGCTGTAGCAATAGCAAACAAATATAGATACTATATAAGAATGTGCTCAGTCGCTCAGCTGTGTCAGACTCTTCGTGATCCCATGGACTGTAGCCTGTCAGGCTCCTCTGTCCATGGGGTTTTCCAGGCAAGAATACTGGAGTGGGTTGCCATTCCCTTCTCCAACTATATGAGGATATTGTCTTATCAAATATAGAGCTCAACCAGACTTCCCTGAGGGTCTTGCAATGCAGGGGGCTGGGTTCAGTCTCTGGTCAGGGAGCAAATGTCCTACATACCATGGTGTTCCTGAGTCTGCACACTCTGAGGTGTGTGTGTCACAGCTAGAGAGCTGGTGCACCATGATCAAAGACCCTGCATGATACAACAAAGATGACGTGTGCTGCAAATAAGACCTGATACAGCCAAATAAACACATAAATATATATATATTTAAATATAGAGCTCAAACAGAAGGTGTGGGATGCAGGATGTCTGATCTGAAGGGATGATCATGATTAGAAAATAAATCAGTGCAAGTTCACTGCCCAAGTGAGGACAACTATAGGTACAGGGCTCCATGAGGATTTTCTAGGAATAAAACCTGCACAAAATATAAATGAAATGAAGGAGCAAGCCTCCAAAACATTTTGGGGAGGAGCCATGCAAACAGTGCAAAGGCTTTCAGATACAAGATGGCATGGTTTATTTGAGGAACAGCAAGAAGGCGTTGTGACCAGAGGTGAGTGAATGAAGAGAAGAGGGTTAGGAAATGAGACTGGAGGACTAGTCAGGCAAGCAAGAATGTGTCAATTAGTTTGGATCTTATTTGAAGAAGAGAGCAGCACTAGTGAGGGTCCAGTCAGGTACACTAAGCCCAGGCCAGATCATTAAATGGAGGGAATTTAATACAGGAAAATATTTCCAAAGCAGTTATAGATCTGAAAAGACAAACAGGGAGAAAGAAGACAGCCCAGAGATGAGCAAAACAGAAAGTGGGGACCATTCCCAGGGTTGGAGGAGATGAGGGAGCAGGTGGGTCTCCAAAGCCACTTAGTGGGAACCGGGACCACAGTTCCAGTCGGTGGGATGGTGTCTGGTGGAGGCTGGGAAGCGGAGGCAGTTGCTGTATGGTAGGAATTAAATCCATTTGGTGTAACCATGGTGGAAGATGTAGCCATGGTGGGAGATGTAGCCTGAAGCAGAGACAGAGATGCGAGAAGACCAGGCTTCTCCCCACTTCCTACCTTTCAAATGTCAAGCCAGTTGCTCCCATTGACTGAATCGGACTGGAAGCTGGTGGGCATGAAAACTGTGACATATATTTTGTGGGAACCAGCTCCTGAATTAGGAGCAGAGCAGGGAAAAGTGGAGGGGGACAAAAAGGGTAGTGACTGATACAGGCTGGAAGAAAGCAGGTCTCCCAAGGACAAAGGACCACAGTATTTTGGGGGAGATATTTCTTGTACCAAATCAGAAGTATGACTTGTTAACCCAGTTATTTTGTGGAGATTCATTGAACCTATCTTATCTAATCTGTATGTCAGCTTCTTTATTGTGACACATGGGTAAGATCACTAAGACAAATTATCAATATGGAACCATGTGTAGAAGGGTTCAGGAATGGTGGGGTGGGGGTGGTGGTAATGGAAACATGTTTTGCAAAGAAAGAATTGAGAATACTTTATTTGATATACTGACACGAGAGATACAAATGTCTTATCCCTTATCCACAATACCAAAATCCATATCTCTGAAAAGTAAAACATTTTCACCTGTTTGGCTCCAGGGCCTGAACTATGCTAATTATAGATTTCCCATTTTACATTTTGCTGAGCAAATATTATTATGCTTGATTTTCAAATGACCTCACTGGGAACTAATTTATATATATATATTCATATATAATGCTTATTAATAAAAAGTTTTAATCTTAAAATTCCTTGCTCTTCACAGGCTTTACATATGATCATGGACTTTACACATTATACTTTCTTTAGAGAAATGATGAGAATGCACTGTCTATAAAAGAACAATCACTATTTGTCGTTTGATTTGTCTTTATTTTCTGACTCTGTTGGATGTTATATGTGGTTCATGTTGGCTATGTCTCATGTCACTCTGGATTAAAATAAAATATTTTTAACTTAGAAATTTGACTTCTATTTGTAAAATAAGCTTTAAATTTTAGATTGTATTCTTGCTAAAATTGACATTTAACTACACAGTCTTGCAACTGATTTCTAAGAATAGGTTGATTCTTTTAATATATTCTGTAAAACCATGGTTGTGTGATTCACCTTTTTTCTCAGGAATAATTTTTGTCATATGATAGCTTTCTTTTCTCCCAGTGTGAGTTGCCTGTTCTGAAAACTTTCCATTGAGTTCAATCACTTTTCAGTGGTGCTGAGGAAATTGAGATAGACAATAAAGTTTTTCACTAAGGTAAATATTTATAAAAATCTTATTTAATAGCAACCAGAATACCTTTTGTTTGGTATTATTGAGACCCTTCCCCATGGCAATTTAGGTGTTCCTGATGTGTCTTTATTTTCCAGTATTTCCATCTACAGAATATGCTACCTCTATGCATTCTATTATATTAAAATGAATTTTCAGGTTAAAATAGATCTCATGTAAAATGTGGCTAGAGTATCCACAGGCCAGTCAATGCTTTATGATCACAATCTTTACTTATTTATTTTTTTCCTTTGTTTGGATATTTATTCTTCCATCCTCCTCTTTTAGTGGGTAAAGGCTGTCATGATTCTGAAGCTAGTGTGATTTCCTGTGATCACACTTGCCTGACTGATAACAACACAAACAATAATGTTAAAGTGACAGTGATCACGCACATCCAGGGTTGTATACCTCACTTTTGGTCTCTTTCTTTCCTTAAACTTCATCTTCTATTCCTTGGCCAGGTATACTGCTTTGACTCAATATATTTTGCAGCAGCTGCTTGTTCTTTTAATTAACCATGCTGCTTTCACATTTTCCACGCCCTTCCAACTCTTCCCCAGAACTGTATGGTCACATCAAGACTAGTGTAAGTGTTAACTGCTGTTTCGAGCAGCAACAAGTCTGTGGTTGGAAATATTCTGCACTGTACAGTGTGATGTTTCAGCCACACATGTATAAACTATTGAACTGATAGAGCATGTTCAACTGATGCATAAAGGTGTGAACAAAGAAGACAGGTTGATTGATACGTGATGACCATGTTTGTAGCATTTATGAAAATTTCGGCACTGTGCCATATCAGGGTCCAGATTCTTTAGTTAAAATTTAATTTCCAAACTTATTCTAAATATCACCCTCTGTCCTGTGAGCCCCAACATACATGTTTTTTTTCTAATTATTATTATTATTAATAGTTGCTAGGTATATGTTAATACTTTTATATGTTTATACATTGAACTCTTCTCAGGACATATTTCTATTCAGTTTAGTTTTGCATTTTTTCAGATGATGAGAATGAATCTTTTAGGGATTGTGAATCTTATTCAAGTTTATAGATCTAACACTTAACAGAATCAGGTACTCGAAACAACTGACATTTGACATCTCTTGTTCAGCAGGTTGAAGAAAGAAAGGAAGAGAATGTCCACCCAATTTGGATCAATTAAAATTAGATTTGTCCATCTCAAACTCCAGCGGATAACCAACAGGGACCTACTGTATAGCACAGGGAATTCTGCTTAATGTTTTGTGGCAGCCTGGATGGGAGGGAATTTGGGGGAGAACGTGTATGTGTATGACTGAGTCCCTCGGTTGTTTACCTGAAACTATCACAACATTGTTAATTGGTTATACTCCAATACAAAATAAAAAGTTAAAAAAAATTAGATTTGAATGCTAAATAGCTTGCCATTCTGTTGTCATATCATTTAGCTTTGTGCTGCTACTTTTCTATATACTCTGTACTTTTTCTCATTAGATTACCCCACTCAGTGGATAAGTTGGAAAGGTTATAATCATCTTTAAATAAATCTATTCAACTCAGTTTTCCTTCCCTACATAGTAGTCAATCCTATGAGAAATCAATCCTGACTCTTCATTGGAAGGACTGATGCTGAAGCCGAAGCTCCAACACTTTGGCCACCTGATGCGAAGAGCCAACTCATTGGAAAAGATACTGGGAAAGATTGAAGGCAAGAGGAGAACAGGGCGACAGAGGATGAAATGATTGGATGGCATCACCAACTCAATGGATGTGAGTGTGAGCAAATTCTGGGAGATGGTGAAGGACAGGGAAGCCTGGCGTGCTGCATTTCACGAGTTTGTAAAGAGTTGGACATGACAGCACTTTAACAGTAACAATAACTCATATTGGTGTTGAACCTGTTCATAGTTGATTCTTTTCTCCCTCTTTTATAAAAATACATTTTATGCATTTATTTTTTCATTGAGGTATAGTTGATTTACAATGTTATATAGGTTTCAGGTCTATAGCATAGTGAGTCACAATTTTAAAGGTTATATTTCATTTATAGTTATTATAAAATATCAGCTATACTCCCTGTGCTGTACTATATATCCTTGTAACCTATTTATTTTATATATAGTAATTTGTATCATTTAATACCCTCTCCCTCTCTTCTTCCCACTCCCCAAGATCTTAGTTGGGTCTTAAAAGTTATTCAATTTTACAGTGCTATTCCTCTTCAGGTTCCATTTGTACATTCATGCATGCATTCATTCATTGAAGAGATAATACAAAAAAAAATCTGCAATGGTTTAGAAATAGTTATGGGAGTGTCACTTAACAGAAGTAAAAAGAACTGATAAAATCTGTTTTCTGAAGTCACTTTTTCTGAAGGGGTGACAGAAATAGATCGTGACAAAGTGGACACTATTTTGGAGTCAGAATTTCGGTAGTATGCATGTGATTTTTCCTCTCTTCTCCATACATTCTAAGCATACAGAACTATAGTAATAGAAATTCAGTTCATCACAATATAGGGTGTAGTAACTTTTCTTTTTTTAACCACTCTGAACATTTTTATTTTATTTGTTTTTACTGTGATAAGAACACAACATGATATCTACCATCTTAAAAAATTTTAAAGTATAGTGACAATGCTCTACAATAGATTTCTAGAACATATTTGTATCGCAAAACTAAAATTTTATACTGATTGAGCAGCAGCTCCCCATTTCCTCCACTCTCAGTCCCTGGTAACCACTATTCTGTTCTCTGTTTCTATGAATCTGACTCTTTTCATTACCTCATATAAGTGGAATCATGTGTATTTGTTCTTCTGTCTGGCTTCTTTCTCTTATCTGTGTTGTTGCATATGCCAGTATCATATTATTTTGACTACTATAGCCTTGTAATATGTTTTGAAATCAGAGTGTGATACCCTCAGCTTGGTTCTTGCTCAAAATTGCTTAGATTATTCGGGATCTCTTGCAGTTCTATGCATATTTTAGTATTGGTTTTATTTATTTTTTTGTGAAAAAGAAAGGCCATTCGGGTTTTGATAGAAATTGCATTGTATCTGCAGATCACTTTGGATAATATGAACATCTGTGTGTGCATGCTAAGTTGCTTCAGTAGTGTCCGACTCTTTGTGACCCTATATGGCCTAAAGCCTGCCAGGCTCCTCTGTCCATGTAGATTCTTCAGGTAAGAATTCCAGAGTGGGTTGCCATTCCCTTCTCTCCAGGGCATCTTCCCGACCCAGACATTGAACCCATGTCTACCTTGACAGGTGGGTTCTTTACCATTAGTGCCACCTGGGGAGCCCAATATTTGGACATTTCCATAATATTAAATCTTCCAATCCATAAACATAGATTGTCTTTTCATTCATTTGTGTCTTCTTTAATTTCTTCCATTAATGATTTGTTGTCAGTGTACAAGGTTTTCACCTCCTTGGTTAAATTTATCACTAAGTGTTTTATTATTTTTTGATGCTGTTATAAATGGGATTGTTTAATTTTTTCATAATTCACTAGCTTATTTTTAGTGTATAGAAATGCAGTTGATTTTTGGGTGTTGATATGTATCCTATAACTTTGCTGATTTAGTTTATTAGTTTCAACAGGTCTTGTTTACACTGAGATACAATTGGCATATGATATACTAGTTTTAAGTGTATAACACAAAGATTTGACAAACAGTCCATGCTGAGTGAGCGTGAATGCTGGGCCTGCCTTGGTTTAATATAGAGGAAGGAATTCAATGACTTTAGGGGATAAGAACATTAAATTGGATTTGTCATTCAAGACCCTCTCACCCACATACGGGAAGTGATCTAGAAGACATACCTTTCACCAATGCTGTGAAAGATAAATTTCTAAGGCGATGCCAGGTATCCTTAAAGAGCTGTATGTTGCAGCTTAAGTCCAGGATCTGTAGAGGAGAGCAGCCGTCTTTTAAAGATCACTGATTTCTGAACAAGTTCCTAACGTGCTTTTCTCAAACAGGGTTCTCAGGCCTTGTTGAACTTGCATCTTGCCTGAGTCTCTGTGCAGATTTTTATTCCCTTTTCTATATGGCTGCTTTTAAATGTCCTAACTTCCCAGCTTGTCCTCAGAGCCTTTAGATGATCTGTTGTATGTCTCTCCCTCTAACCTCTTGCTCCAGGTGTATATAGGTCTGTAGAGTCCTGCAGCTTTTACCTGCAGTGTCTGCCATATTTATTATTATTATCAACATGCAACATAAACTACTGTTTCCCATGATAATGGCCTTTTGGAAGTGGAGCATACTCTTTTCAACAAACAGGGTGAGATACACACATTTTCTCTTGAGAGAACAATGATGAGGCATTCTATCTAGAGTTGTCAGTAATAAGACAATCATGGGAATTATATCTGGGGACTGTAAAATCCTAGTGAAGAAAACTCACTGAAAGTAGAAATTAAGATAATAAGTATATTTGGTGCCTCAGCTATTAAAATGATTTGAAGAATCAGTTACCATCAGTTCCTCATGAAGATAATAAACTAGTTCTTACAGAAACACATGTTAAGGGGGAGAAATAGAGCAAAAGGACTTTGAAAATTTATTTTAGGCCATTACTTGAAACTGAAGTAAATGGGGAGTTAGATTACACAAAGATGAAGTTCTTAGTGTGGCTTCCTCACACAAAGCCACATGGTTCTTTTTCTAGAAAAAGAGAATGAGAAAATTACATTATGGGCTACTAAACTATATATATTCATCTGAGATACATGAATCTGTTAAGAACTGTGAAGAAGTCAAGGGAGCTGAAGTAGTTTTTAAATAAAGAAACAACTGACAGAAGTAAATAAAATTAGTCTGCAAGTGAAAGTAGTTGATAGGAAAAGGAGAATACAAGAAAACTCTGACTTGGAGGCATTTGAGCTTGCTTCCATTCCTGAGATTAGAATTATTCATTCTCATACTCCAATATCCACCCTCAATACTTTATGGGCCCTTGGATACCCAGAAAGGATAAGGCTGAAATTCTTGCTTTAACTCCTGCAACCGTCAGATTGATTGTCTTTGTCTAAGAATGATTCTGATATGAAATCTTCTACTTCATTGATTTCGTGGAGTATTATCTGTTAATTAAGAATTAGCTGTTTGGACTTCCCTGGCAGTCCAATGGTTAAGAATCTGCTGCCAATGTGGGGGACACTGATTTAGTCACTGGCCTGGGAAGATTCCACATGCAGGACAGCTCGGCCTGTGTGCCATAACTAATGAGCCTCGGCTTCAGAGCCTGCACTCAGCAAGGAAGACCTAGCACAGTCAAACATGAATAAACAAATAAATTAATTAAGGGAAAAGAATTATCCAGTAAACTATTATCATTCCAATAATTAATTCCTTCATTAGCTTCATAACTGCATAATATTTTATTATTTTAGCAGTTATTCTAAGTAACTAAAAATTCAACATGCATTCTTGACCTAGTAATGCCCAAGATAAATACTTCCTTTACTCCTTCTTAGACATTTTAATAACCTTGTTGTTGTTTTTGCTAAGTCACGTCCAGCTCTTTTGTGATCATGTGGACTATAGTTCCCCAGTCTCCTCTGTCCATAGGATTACCTGAGCAATATTTCCAGGGGATCTTCCCGACCTAGAGATTTAACCTGCATGTCGCAGGCAGATTCTCTACTCTCTGGGCCATAGTCTTAGGTCCTTTTAACTCCATATCCTCCTTTTAATTTAAATGCAACATTTACAGTGTAAATGTTCAAGCTTATGCAATTTTAAACTATAGACACTAATATTATGGTTTTGTATAATCACTATTCATTTAGATTTACACCTGCATTTACCTATTTCATTGCCCTTTATCCTGAATCTTAGAGGTTCCATTTGGGACTATTTCCTAACATCTAAAGGACATTATAGTGTATCCTTAGCATAGACCTAAGGTAATGACAATTTTTCTCTATCTATCTTAAATTATCTTTATTTCACCTATGTAACATAAGTATATCTTCACATGATTCTCATATAATTATCTTTTCTCTGGGGATAGAGTTTTGTATAACAATTGTCTTTCAATACTTCCATGCTTTCTTTTTCCTTTTTATAGATTAGCTACTAATTACTTCTTTAAAAGTAAATTCTGGACTTCCCTGGTTGTCCTGTGG